ATACGCCATAAATCGATACCGTCCTACGCTGTGCAATTATTTAAACGAAGAAAAAACCCCGGCCAAAACAAGCTGACAAGATAATTTTTTGGCCACGTCAAAATATTCCCTCTCCTAAATGACAAGTTTGGGTTCTAGAGTGACAAGTTTGGGTTCTAGAGTGACAAGTTTGGGTTCTAGAGTGACAAGTTTGGGTTCTAGAGTGACAAGTTTGGGTTCTAGAGTAACAAGTTTGGGTTCTAGAGTGACAAGTTTGGGTCCTAGTGTGACAAGTTTGGGTTCCAGAGTGACAAGTTTGGGTTCTAGAGTGACAAGTTTGGGTTCTAGAGTGACAAGTTTGGGTTCTAGAGTGACAAGTTTGGGTTCTAGAGTGACAAGTTTGGGTTCTAGAGTGACAAGTTTGGGTTCTAGAGTGACAAGTTTGGGTTCTAGAGTGACAAGTTTGGGTTCTAGAGTGACAAGTTTGGGTTCTAGAGTGACAAGTTTGGGTTCTAGAGTGACAAGTTTGGGTTCTAGAGTGACAAGCTTGGCTTCTAGAGTGACAAGTTTGGGTTCTAGAGTGACAAGTTTGGGTTCTAGGGTGACAAGTTTGGGTTCTAGAGTGACAAGTTTGGGTTCTAGAGTGACAAGTTTGGGTTCTAGAGTGACAAGTTTGGGTTCTAGAGTGACAAGCTTGGCTTCTAGAGTGACAAGTTTGGGTTCTAGAGTGACAAGCTTGGCTTCTAGAGTGACAAGTTTGGGTTCTAGAGTGACAAGTTTGGGTTCTAGAGTGACAAGTTTGGGTTCTAGAGTGACAAGTTTGGGTTCTAGAGTGACAAGTTTGGGTTCTAGAGTGACAAGTTTGGGTTCTAGGGTGACAAGTTTGGGTTCTAGAGTGACAAGTTTATGTTCTAGAGTGACAAGTTTGGGTTCTAATGTGACAAGTTTGGGTTCTAATGTGACAAGTTTGGGTTCTAGAGTGACAAGTTTGGGTTCTAGAGTGACAAGTTTGGGTTCTAGAGTGACAAGTTTGGGTTCTAGAGTGACAAGTTTGGGTTCTAGAGTGACAAGTTTGGGCTCTGGAGTGACAAGTTTGGGTTCTAGAGTGACAAGTTTGGGTTCTAGAGTGACAAGTTTGGGTTCTAGAGTGACAAGTTTGGGCTCTGGAGTGACAAGTTTGGGCTCTGGAGTGACAAGTTTGGGTTCTAGAGTGACAAGTTTGGGTTCTAGAGTGACAAGTTTGTGTTCTAGAGTGACAAGTTTGGGTTCTAGAGTGACAAGTTTGGGTTCTAGAGTGACAAGTTTGGGTTCTAGAGTGACAAGTTTGGGTTCTAGAGTGACAAGTTTGGGTTCTAGAGTGACAAGTTTGGGTTCTGGAGTGACAAGTTTGGGTTCTAGAGTGACAAGTTTGGGCTCTGGAGTGACAAGTTTGGGTTCTAGAGTGACAAGTTTGGGTTCTAGAGTGACAAGTTTGTGTTCTAGAGTGACAAGTTTGGGTTCTAGAGTGACAAGTTTGGGTTCTAGAGTGACAAGTTTGGGTTCTAGAGTGACAAGTTTGGGTTCTGGATAGATAGGTTAGTGACCCATACTAGGCAGAGATCAATACGTATTTCTTATGCCAGATATTATCTTAACACATATAGTAATCCTAGTTTAATCTACTCTTGATAAAAATCAATCTGTTTTGTGTCCCGAAATTTCGGGTTAAGGACCTTTTCAGGACCTGTCTGGCTACGTAGCAGAGGAAGTAGAGTTCATCTGTTTCATCGGGTTTTGAGGCGGGTTTGTGTCAAAACCGGTCTCCTAAAAATGTTTTACTTAAAAACATGGAGGGAAAGGGAGTGGCTTATTATTTATTATAACGCGTATTTTCTGTAAGGATGTGTTATAGGGTTAATATGTAGGCATATAAAACAGACTTTAGTTATCTGTATTCTAATTTTTATTATATTTTTTGCCCTTTGAACAATTGACTGATTGTGCTTAAGCAACTGGCTAATAGTTTTTTCCCTTTTAAACATTAAGACTGAGAATATAAACTGTTTCAAAGGAAACTTTTTTTTTCTCTAAATCGATATGTAGATAGTAAAGTTCGCCTTCCAGATTTCCCGATCTATGGGGCACATGAAAAAGAGCTCATCTGATTCTTGACCACAGTATTATTATGAAGGGATGGTATGGTTCATAGTATGCCTACGCGCCTTTTCTTTCCTAATGTGAGTCAGGTATTTATTAAAGCTGGGTGAACTCAACGACCACATACAGAGACTTCAGGCCGTAACTCGTGACCTTCGGTGCTAGCAGTCGAGAGCTCTACCACTCGACCACGCCGTCCACCAATCTATATGTGCACTATATTTTATTTTGAAAATGTTAAAGTGTAATGGACTGGCGGAGAACTTGTGAAAGGTGAAGCTATGTTCTCCGAAGAGAAACGTTGCGCAGGGTGGGTGTAGCCCTACTCTGACACACCTGTCTTGTAAAACGATGCCTGACTACCATTGATACACGATAGCTTTTTGTGTTTACTTAGTTTTTTTTGTAGTTGTGTTAGTGAATTAAACACATATAACCACTGTAAAGTGGACCATTATGTTCATTCGTAATGTTTGTTGTTTGTCATTCATCAAAACACATCTATTGTCCAACAAAACAAATCTTTCGTCCAACAAAACACATCTGACGTCCTACAAAACACATCTGTCGTCCAACATAACACATCTGTCGTCCTACAAAACACATCTGTGTATCCAATATAACTCATGTTATTCAACAAAAGGCGTCTGTCGTCCAACAAAACAAATCTTTCGTCCAACAAAACACATCTGACGTCCTACAAAACACATCTGTCGTCCAACATAACACATCTGTCGTCCTACAAAACACATCTGTGTATCCAATATAACTCATGTTATTCAACAAAAGGCGTCTGTCGTCCAACAAAATACATCTGTCGTCCAACAAAACACATATGTCGTCCTACAAAACACATCTGTCGTCCAACATAACACATCTGTCGTCCTACAAAACACATCTGTGTATCCAATATAACTCATGTTATTCAACAAAAGGCGTCTGTCGTCCAACAAAATACATCTGTCGTCCAATAAAACATCTGTCGTCCAACAAAGCACGTCTGTTGTCCTATGAAGGACGACGTATCATCCAACGACTCCATTTAGAAACGGCCAGCGATCACCGTTTGACCGACCAGTATCGATTCCATTCGATCGATTCCCAGGGCTCGATCTTAAGAGAGATATTTCTCCGTGCCGGGTCAGGGTGAACTTTGTATACGACCTGCTTACTTCCCTTTAACAAAAAAATAGGAAAAGGTTGGATTGGGGGGGGGGGGGGGGGGCGTTCACTTTCAGTTGGTTTTCGGAACAAAAATAACAAAACTGACATTTCTCATGAAACAAAACAGTTTTAAAAATTCGAAATTTCCGACTTTCACATTTTCATAAAAATTTGTACAAGAATGTCTTGGATTTACAGTTGTCCTTTTATAAGCTTTTACTTAGTTCACAAAGTCTGTTTGTTTGATTGTGGGCTTGTGGCAAATCTTGCTTGTAAATTTTGACACACGTTTAATGCAGCAATTTCGTTTGGTATAATTTCAAACGAATGTCTAATAAATGGAAATAAAACAAATATAAAAACTTTTATAAAAATAGGCTTTTAAATGCACTGAAAATCAGATAGCAAACTTGTTTCCTTCAACCACTAATGAGCGACCAAAGCTTTTTATTATAGACAGCAAGTTTGTTTTATTTTCTTGTTTTTAACTGCATTCAAAATCATGTTATTTTAATAAGGTTTTTTATATTTGTTTAATTTCAGTTGATCCGATGCTTGTAGTTCTTTTGATTTACTATGGAGTATATCAACCTATCACGCCATTGATATAGTATCAAATCTCTAATCTAAATCGAGATTTTGACGCTTTACAAACTTTCGGTCCCGGAAAAAACTTTGTTCCGTCCCTCTCCGTGTGTGTTTGCGTGTGCGTGCATGTGTGTGTTTGTGTGTGTGTGTGTGTGTCTGTGTGTGTACTGTTTCAGGTAGGCGTACTTTCATACCTAGGTTTTCTGTCAAATTTTGAGTTATTTCCGGTGACCGGAAATAGTATTTACGGTTACTCAAAAAAAAGGAAAGTGTTTCCTTCAGAAAGTACCAACTTTCCGCTCTACACATTTTGCGTTCTATTGGTTCGTTATTCTTTTTTTTCTGCGCGAGTCTATTCTGTTTAAAAAATGTAAGTGATAAAAGAATTAATAAAAAATATTTCTACAGTGCTAGAAGTGCCATCCCCTACTGTTGTAGAAGAATATACGAGAACGTTTAAGGGGAGATCACTCCAGAGCTTTAAAAATTCGTTTTCTCTAAACATTTTCTTTATTAAGGGCTCTAAGAAATTAAAGTATTTTGTAATAATGGTGAGAGATGTGAACACGATTTTTTTGTTGGAACATAACGATGTTCTAAATCTCGAAAGAAAAGAATTGGAGTTAGAATAGTGTGTTTCTAGGGAAACGATACATACATACTTATATATATATATATATATATATATATATATATATATATATATATATATATATATATATATATATATATATATATATATATATATATATATATATGTATGTATATATATATATATATATATATATATATATATATATATATATATATATTTATATATATATATATATATCGGCTTATATTATGATGTCTACAAATCTGTCTAACTCTGCCAAGATATTTAGGTTAGACATAATATATATATATATATATATATATATATATATATATATATATATATATATATATATATATATATATATATATATATATATATATATGTATACGGGCCTGTATGACGATGTCTACAAAGCTGGCTAACTCGGTCAAGATATTTAGGTTAGACATAGACCGATGACGTGTGGAGAGGCCCAGCGCATTTAGATTAGTGGTTGATTGGTTAAGGTAATTGATTCATCCGCCTTAATTAGTTTGCAGTCGTTGGCTGCCCACGGCAAGGTGCAGTCAGGTGTTTTCTACACAGGTGTTAAGCAATATGCAGGTAATTAGGTTTTAATAGCGCGTGTTTTGTGAAGATGATTATGATGTGGCGCGTTAGAGTGTGTTGTTGTTTTATGTTTCGTTGACTGGTACTTGCTGTAGTTTGCAGGTCGTGTATTGTGTGCGGTTGGGTTAGGTTGGGGTAGGTGAATCGTATATTTTGAGGATGTGGTGAATATTTTGGATGCATATGTGTCTTGAATGTGTCTTGAATGTGTCTTGAATGTGTCTCGTGGGTGTCTTGTACTTGTGCAGCGTGCGTGTATTAATAATGTACATTCTGTGTATACTGTTGTAATGTAATGTAAATAATGTGTTTTTGTGTCTTATGTTTAAGTTGGTGTCTTGTGTGTGCGCCTTGCATATGTCTTGTGTGTTTCTTGTTTTTGTCTTGTGTCTTGTGTATCTTTAATTCTGTCTCGTGTCTGTCTTCTGTGTGTCTTGTGTGTATTTGTCTTGTGTGTCTTAACGTCTGTCCTGTGTGCATCTTGTGTGTCAAAATAGCGTGTTGTGTGTGTTTAAATAGCCTTCGTGTGTCTTGAGTGTTTTGCACGTGTCTTGTGTGCAAGCTCAAATAATATAACGAAACATTTTTTTTTTATGACATCTTCCATCGCATTCAATAGTCTCTGTACTCCTGGGATTACCTGGGATAACATCCACCATGTCCCACCCCCCCCCCCCTTCCGCTCCTCCCCCTGTCCCCACCCAGTCCACCCCATCCACTCCCCCTGGTCCCACCTTGTCCCCACCCTCGTCCCCACCCCTATCCACACCTCCCCCCTCCCACCCCCATGTCCCCACCTTGTCCCCACTCCTGTCCCCCACCTTCCCCCCCCTCCGACCCCCCTGTCCCCACCCTAGTCCTCACCCCGTCCCCACCCCCGCCCCAACCTCCGCCCATCCAACTCTAATTGAAACTGATCACAATTCCCTCTGACTCTTGACGTCACAAATCCTTTTTGTCGCTGAATTTAATCAACGACTTCATTGGACAAAAATAACGCTTTCATTTGGCCACTCTATCATCACATTTTTTTCCCCTTCAGATGTTCATTAGAATTAATTTGACATGTTTTGTTTTAATTGGTGAAAGTCTCTCATTTCTACCCGATTCACTCTATTCCTTGTGTACTTAACTATGTCTATATTTGGGTTAATAAGGAGTTGAACAGTACACAAAAATTTTAAAATATTAAATTTAAATATTTAAAATTCCTATTTAGTCTTTATCTCAACCTTAATGGGACTTAATTATAATTAGAGTTAGTTTCCTCCTTTCCCCGATTAATTATGCCATTTCTAGCTAGGAGAAGAGTTCTTGAGTAAATAGAAAGCAATCTTCTCTTTTACATTATTGTACTAACATGGTTGTTAATTTTCTTTAAATAAAATAACTTTTTTTCCCACCTCCTATTTATGTGGGGTTTTTTTTTGTCCTAATTGTTTTCAAAAATTTAAAACAAAATGTATACAAGCTCTTATGCCAATTTCTTAAACTTAGACAACAACTTACATCACATTTTGCTGGTACTTTAAAGCAGATGAGTAGCGAGGGCGGGGCGGGGGGTATGGACCGTACCGGGTGACACCAAGGCAAAAAAGCATATACACATACATGTATTTAAATTATAGGCCTATGTAGGCCGATACAAACACACACACACACACACATATATGTATATATATATATATGTATATATATATATATATATATATATATATATATATATATATATATATATATATATATATATATATATATATATATATATATATATATATATATATATATATATATATATATATATATATATATATTGTTTCTTGTGGGGGGGGGTTACACCAAGATGTGCCGCACCAGGTGACACCACACCTAGCGACGCCACAGCTTTAAAGTCCATTGTTGCATTGTATATAGCATAGTTAAAACCAAACAAAAAAATTATCAATAAGAGTCACACAGTCCTTAAGTTTAAATGTTTTGATAACTATTCGAGCGGCCTGGTACCTTTAACGGCCTCTCCCCCACCCCCTCCCCCTCAGCCCGTCCCCAGGTCACGTGATGGTGGAGAATGTTTCACGTCGACTCGTCCAGTGGTAGACTAGAGTTCCACGTCAGCATGAGCGATCCGAGGTCAGAGGTCAAGCACCCGCTGGTGAGTCTGTCAGTGACATTTTGTGACAGTTTTACTGAAAGTGACATTCTGTGACAGTTTTACTGACAGTGACATTTTGTGACAGTTTTACTGACAGTGACATTTTGTGACAGTTTTACTGACAGTGACATTCTTTGACAGATTTACTGACAGTGACATTCTTTGACAGTTTTACTGACAGTGACATTCTGTGACAGTTTTACTGACAGTGACATTCTGTGACAGTTTTACTGACAGTGACATTCTTTGACAGTTTTACGCTCAGTGACATTCTTTGACAGTTTTACTGACAGTGACATTCTGTGACAGTTTTACTGACAGTGACATTCTGTGACAGTTTTACTGACAGTGACATTCTTATACAGTTTTACGCTCAGTGACATTCTTTGACAGTTTTACTGACAGTGACATTCTTTGACAGTTTTACTGACATTGACATTCTGTGACAGTTTTACTGACAGTGACATTCTGTGACAGTTTTACTGACATTCTGTGACATTTTTTGACATTGTGTGACAGTTTCAGTGACATTCTGTGAGAGATTCATTGATATTTAATAATGGATAAAATTTATTTGGATTTTTACTCACTTCTGAATCAGTTGAAGCACTGTATTAATTTTTATAATGATGTACTAATGTTGTACTAAATGATATACTAATATTGAATCAAAAGATTCACTGATGTATTATAAGATGTACGGATGTTGCACTAAATGATATACCAATGCGGTATCTAATGATGTACTGATGTTGTATTAAAAGATGTACGGATGTTGTAATGAAAGAGTTATCGATGTTGTACTAAATGATGTACTAATGCTATATATAATGATTCACTGACGTTGTTATGAAAGATGTACGGATGTTGTACTAAATGATGAACCAATGCTGCATCTAATGATGTACTGATGCTGTATTGAAAGATGTACGGATGTTGTACTAAATAATGTACCAATGCTGTATCTAATCATGTACTGATGTTGTATTGAGAGATGTACGGATGTTGCTCTAAATTCTAAATGATGTACTAATTCTGCATCTAATAATGTACAGAAATTGCATCACATGATATGTTGTACTGAATGATGCTCTGACATTGTACCCCCACCCCCCTACCCCCCACTCCCCAGAAACACAGACCGCTGTGCCATCTGTTCTCCGGACGTCTCATCTTCTTCCATGGTGTTCTCTTCTTCGCCGTTATCGTCGTCCTCGTCATACGGTACGCGGACATCTGTCCGGTCCGCTTCCCCGCCCATCTCGAGGTCACTCTGGCGCCTATCAAGGTCAACGAGACACTGCTGGATGGCCATTTTCAAGTGGCCATGGCGGCCATAAACTTGTCACTCTTGGCCCCGCTGCCTACAGTTCCAACCGATAAAAAACGTGAGGTTTTTTTTCTGTTAATTTTTTTTCTGTTCATTTTTTTTTACATGCATAAAACTACAAGTTTTATTTACCAGGGGAGGTAACAAAGAAAAATAAAGATGCTTTCAAGAACGTCAGAATTACATCCCTTGTTTCAATTTGTTTTCCCCAGATCTTTTTCAGTACGAGTTATCTGAGTTTGATCTGGAGATGATCTCAGAAATGCTCTCAGCGTTTGATACATTGATGAAAAATGCTTCCATAACTTATTTTCTATATAAGGTGAGATGACTTGAGTTATTTAAAAAAATTAACTTACTAGTTTTGGTCCAGGGTGTACTTACGTACTCTCCGGAAAAATAATGGCGTTAAATTACATGGTTAGTGTTATATACACGAGTTTAATATGTTAACATGTTTAATATTACATGGTTCATGTTCTATATTACAGGGTTCATGTCTTATATTACAGGGTTCATGTCCTATATTACAGGGTTCATGTCTTATAGTACATGGTTCATGTCTTATATTACAGGGTTTATGTCTTACAGGGTTCATGTCTTATATTACAGGGTTCATGTCTTATATTACAAGGTTCATGTCCTATATTACAAGGTTCATGTCCTATATTACAGGGTTCATGTCCTATATTACAGGGCTCATGTCTTACATTACAGGGTTCATGTCCTATATTTCAGGGTTCATGTCTTATATTACAGGGTTCATGTCCTATATTACAGGGTTCATGTCCTATATTACAGGGTTCATGTCCTATATTACAGGGTCCATGCCTTATATTACAGGGTTCATGTCCTATATTACAAGGTTCATGTCTTATATTACAAGGTTCATGTCCTATATTACAGGGTTCATGTCTTATATTACAGGGTTCATTACTTGGCTCTTACAGACATCACAGTATTATCCCCTGGGACGATGACCTTGACTTTTTAGTGTCTGTGAAGGAGAAAGAAAAAATTAAGAACGTCTTTCATAACCATTCCATCTACCTGCTGGATACGTTATCCATCAGGTCGGTCAACATTTTCTACCTGTCCCCTGACTTATCCATCAGGTAGGTCAACATTATTTACACGATCAAAGCTCATGGCTGCTAACCCAAAAGTCTCGAGTTCGAACCCTCGGGCAGATGAGGCTCGTTAGCTGAGGACAGCCACTCTTCTAGGAGAGACAACTCCAAAATCAAACAACTGCTGTCTTGTAGTTTGTTCTTGGTTGGACAAAGGCTATGGAAGCAAATCCAAAAAGAAAAGCAGGCAGAAATCGGTGTCAATGGCCTAAATGGCGCTTAACCAGTTGACACGTATACTTAATTGTGTTGGAGGCGTGGTCGAATCAGAAAAAAGCTCATTCAAAAAAGTCTCGAGTTCATACCCTCTGGCAGATATGGCTCAATCCCTTCCAACACTAAAAACTAAGAACGAAGAAGAAGAAGAAAAATACCTATTTCAACCAGGTAGATCATTTTGTACCTGATATAATTGTGCCGGTTAATTAAATTGTTCTTGATTTTTTTCAAAATATATCATGGACACAAATATAATGCGAAAAGTAGTGTGTTAGTCTATCACCAAAGTAGTGTGTTAGTCTATCACCAAAGTAGTGTGTTAGTCTCTCACCAAAGTAGTGTGTCAGTCACTCAGCAAAGTAGTGTGTTAGTCTATCACCAAAGTAATGTGTCGGTCACTTGAACGTCACCTGTATAGTAGTAAAATTTCCCTTTCAGACCTAACGATCCGTAAGACGCTTTTAATTTTCCCAAAGAGAATTTGGTACCTACTAGAGCTGGGTTGATTCAAGGACCATATAGTCTAGAGTATGGACCGAGATCCGAACTCTAGAGCTTCGGCCTAACTTCCGAAAACTCTACCAATCAACCACACGGTCCCGTGTCATTAATTTAAAAACATGAATATTTCATGAAGAGAACCTTTGACATATCTTAAGAAAACAGAAGATAAATATACAGTTTATCACAAAACGTATGAGACCTTACAGATATTAACCCCAAACATTTTTTCCACACCAGGTACAAAGTCTACCACAAAAACGGCCACCCTATCAAAGACATCAGTTGGAAATCCCCGTTTTTAGACATCAGCTTTTACACCGAGAACTCCACTCACATATGGGACGTCACTCTACCCTCCCAGTCGCCGTATCCAAAGAGTAGTATCTTCCCTTTAACGGAGCGCCCCCTGCTCGGGGCGCTGTACCCCTCCCCCAGGGACCCGCTGAAGACGCTCCAGGCCAACTACAATCTCGACGACTGCCACACGGGGACGTACAACCACACGGGAGAGTTCAAGCGCCACGACAATGACGTCAGCAACGTCCGGTGTTCGGCGCTCATCGGGACGGTGCCGTTTGTTCAGCACGTCAGGGGGCCGGGAGGGGCGTGGTGCGAGGAGCTCTTGACTTTCAGAGGAAAAATTCTCAACACTTTTGTCAGGGACGCTAAAGATATTCCAGTGTGTTAGTCCGGTCTGTTAACTTTCTCAGTCTAAAGATATAGCTTCGTGTCGACTTCCTGTGTCTAAACATATTCTAGCGTGTTATTTAACTTCTTGTGACTGAAGATATTCCAGTGCTTCAACTTACTGTGTTAAAAGATATTTCAGTGTGTTAACTTTTTGTGACTGAATATGTTCCAGTGTTAACTTCCTTTGTCTAAAGATATTTCAAAGTTATCTCCCTGCGTTAACCCTTCGTGTAACTATATTATTGTTTGTGATTATGGATGCAAATAACATAAAGACTTTCACGTGAGTACTTATTTTCCTCACGAATTAACCTTCTCGGATGATCATCCAAAAACTGATTGATTTGACTTGACTTTGTGATTCTCATCGCGTCTACGGCCTACTCTTTCAACGTGGACTGCAAAATTGATAGAATTTTATTAGTTTCGTGCTTGATAAACGTATTTTTCGTCTAGATATTCTTCAGTATTTTTTAAAATGTTGAGTCTAGGTTGTGGTGTCATAAATCTTTCAAGACTAAGCCTTAATTAACTGCGGAGGTTGAGAGGTTAAAGTAGATTACTAACCTGAAAGTCTCGAGTTCGGATCCAGGGCTAGATTTGTAGGTCGTCCACGAGTTACCCAGTACAGCACTCGTATCAGAGTACAGCAAAATGACGGCTACGGGATAATCACGCAGTGTGCTGACCACACCATAGGGTGACAACACGATGTGCTGACCACACCATAAGATGACCACATCATAGGGCGACCACACCATAGGGTGACCACACCATAAGGTGACCACAGCATAGGGTGACCACAGCATAGGGTGACCACAGCATAGGGTGACCACAGCATAGGGTGACCACACCATAGGGTGACAACACGATGTGCTGACCACACCATAAGATGACCACATCATAGGGCGACCACACCATAGGGTGACCACACCATAAGGTGACCACAGCATAGGGTGACCACAGCATAGGGTGACCACCAATATATATATATATATATATATATATATATATATATATATATATATATATATATATATATATATATATATATATATATATAATGTTTTCTTTTAGTGAAGTAATACCTTATGTTAAATTCTGAGTTCCACATTTATTAGTCAAGAGAACTAACAGAGGACCGATCTAGTAGTCCTACCCTATGAAATCCCTAATGTTGATGTAATATGTTGTTTCATTGTTATTACTGCATTATGTGATGATTATATGTGAAATGAGTACTAACATTTGTGTGGTGGTATCCACAATGATGTGAAATTGGATGATATGGTTGAAGTAAATAAAATGCGATCATATGGCTAAATTGAATATTTGAAATACTTGCTTATGACTGTAGCAAATCAGGCAAAAGGTAACATCACATACAGTATTAAAATATTTAAACAGGACATGCTGAACATATGTTAAGGCATATTTGTGGTGTCGCAATTGTGATGTGACATTTGTGAGGTGACATTTCTGATGTGACATTTGTGATGTGACATTTGTGAGGTAACATTTATTAGGTGGCATTTGTGAGGTAACATTTGTGAGGGGACACATGTGTGGTGACAGTTGTGATGTGAAAATTGTGAGGTGACATTCGTGATGGGTCATTTGTGAGGTGAATATTTGTGAAATAAAAATTGTAAGATTTTTTTTGTCATGTGGTATTTGTGACATGTCACTGGTGATATTATATTTCTCAGACGACATTTTTAATTTGCAAATGAATAAGTAAGTTTGTTTTTGCCATTGTGAATATGAATCTACCTGCATATTTCACTAACATTGTTTATGGTGTAATTGTATGTGTATGTGTTACGTTACATCCTACTTGAGGTTGTGTTGTGACACAAGTGTATTATTTTGTTATAATAAATTATACGTATGTTATTTATGTCTTCCAAATATTTTTTGTCTTCATTAAACTATTCAATACTCGGAGCACGCTTTTTTAAATTTATTAGATAGTCCTTCGTTGTATAACGAATACTGGTGAGATCGTTAAAAAGAAAGATATCTGTTATTTATGGGTACCCTTGCTCTACTACAGCTTTGTTAGATCAAATGGGTTGTTTTGTTGCTTATTTTAAATATTTTTTAAAAATATTTTTTAAAAATTATAGGTCCCCGGATACATCAGATGTTTGATGAAACGCTCAAAGTAAAAACAAATCAATTTTCAAAATTTTGATTAGAGTTGTATAGAGCATTTTTGTTGTCGTGGGAACCAAAATTTTACCTTTCAGTTTTTTTAATGTGTTTTTTAGAAAGTATTTTTAAATTGTCTGTTGCGACTAATATTATAATTATTTCCCATTCAGACACATGTGACAGATAAATTAGAGTTCATGCGTTTCAGTGACCTCGGCTTATGAAGGGATAGTGTGGTAAGTACTCTGTCCAGACGCATTTGTTTCCTTAACATTTAACATAAACAAGTAAACTTTACTTCACTTATCCCATAGGCCATAGAACGTCACGTTTGAAATGGAACTTAAGTCACACACCATCAAAATGACACCACACAATTCATAAATTTAAGATTGAAACCATGTAAACACCATTTTAATAACACCATAATTGATAGGTTCACGATAGAACTCATGCGCAAACATTAATTAAAGCGATCATCAGTTTAAGGTAATTGTATTCATTTTTATTAATTTCTGGGTAAAAAAAATTGGATTTAATCAAACTTCAAATGTTTTTGGTTTCTAGTAATTTGCAACTGTGTTAACGCCCTCTTTTAAAAATGACAAGCCAGAGTTAACCACGAACAGTAGAATTAACGTAACTACACAGCAGGGGAATTCCTACCCACCAGGCATATATCATTATGTTATTTTAACCTATAATCGCGCTACTGTGTTCCAATATTTCGTCCCACTAAACGGTAGATAAGTAGTAGCTATTATACAAACAAGGATCTATATTGAATCTATACTTGACTTAATCACTAGACATGGGTTGGGAGGGTCAGGGGGGGGGGGTGATGTGGTGTATGGGTGGGTATGTGTGTGTGTGGGAGGGGGGTGTAAATGAAATAGTACGGCGTCATATATATCTTCGGTCGTAAAGGCCGGGATCTAATTAATTTGTGTTTTGTTTCTGAAAACAGGTTTGCTTAGTATGTTTACATAGTCATTTAATGACTTGATTCTTAACTGTTCTGAAGTACCTAGTCTTAGTAGGTGCCTGCGTAACCGCGGTCACTTAATGCATAACCTGTCAACTGATGCATTATACTTAGTACAGGAAAGCTACTATTTTAATGTAATCAATCTATCTGAAGAGTCGCAGAAAAAAATGATAACAATGAACCAATCATTACATTTTCAGTTGCCGCATGATGGGAATTTGTTATAACAAATTATACGTATTCATTCTCACTGCTATGGAGAGCAGTTTTAAAATTTTGATTCCACCTAACATAATGGACTGCGTAAAATATGTCAACATTTTTATCTGTGAGTCAATGGGAATTCCCGGTATAATCGGGAATATCCTCAACATACTTGTGTTCTATAAACAAGGCTACGAGGAGAGTGTGAACGTCACGCTAACAGCTTTAGCCATCAGCGATATCGGAGCTCTGTTTACATTTCTCATTTTGAATGTAATACGACTACTAAGCTTCGCGCATTTACCTTTTGTAGCTACAGACTTGATAGTTCTTCTGGGTTATAACCCCCACACGTATTTTATAAGGGTGTGTGGGTGTATAACGGCGTTCGCGGCTTTTGAAAGATGTATGTGTGTTTTGGTCCCGTTGAAAGTCAAACAAATTATAACTCCTAAACTAGCTTTGTGTGTTTGTGCTGGGATATACATCGTCATGCTGCCTGTTATGTTTACACCGTATTTCATGTTTTATCTGGCTTGGGTGTACGACCCAGCCACCAACCGAACTCTCCTGGGCTCCGTTCCTCGGGTCAACCTTCACGACGTCAGTCCCCTGGCGTTCTTCGTCACCGACTGCTACCACTTGCTGACACCGTGTGTGACCTTCACCTTCATCATCGCCTGCACTGCTGTGACTGCCAGACAGCTAAAACAGATTGGAGTCACCAGACAGTCCATGACGTCAGGGAGTCCGATCTCCACCAAAGAAAAGAAACTGGTCAAGATGCTGGTCATCGTGTCATTGACATTCATCGCCTGCCTGCTGCCAACGTCGGTGACACTGACAGCCGTGGGTTTGGTGCCGGACATGGCAGTGACCGGAAGTTATTTTGACGTGTCACTGTTGATCTACGAGCTGTCGTATCTGACAGAAACTATAAGCTCCAGCATCAACGTGTTAGTGTACTACAGCATGAGCAGCAAATACAAGTCCACAGTCAAATCATTGTTTCAGGGCAAGGAAAAGTTGATGAAGATTGAAATTAACAGTATATTTTAACATAATTGTGCATACAATGTTGACACCTAATAAACAGCTATGTTTGAGGAAATTTCCTCTAATATTACAAATTAAGAACGAAGAATAATATGTTCATTTTACCTGCCAAAGTTGTGTTTTTTGTGAGAGTACATTTTATTTTTTAATATTTCATATTCTTAATCTTATATATTTTATTTTTATTGGTATAAGTGTTTCTTCCAGACTTTTTTCTCGCATTGATATTTTCGAGGGGGGGGGGGTCTTCATTGTTCGGGGGGGGGGGGGGGGCGGACACTAGTAAAAGTGTATGTTTACTATATGAATTCCATTGGGGGGGGGGGGGGGCGGTACAATTATAGTGTAAAACAGCATACAATGTTGCTACCTACTAAACATGTTGGAGTAAATTTCCTCCAATTTTACAAATTAAGAGCGAAGAACTTCTAATTTTACTTGACAAAGTTGTTTTTTTTTTACATTTTATATTTTATATTCTTAATAATATATATTTTATTTTCATAGATATACAATGGTAAGGTAAAAATCAGTTCTTTACCATTATTACACTGATAACACCCTAAAGTCTTCTCCACTTCCCTCATGCTTATTATTAAAGTATTTTCTTTTTAATCTCAAATTAATTTATTTCAGTTGAAGCTTAAATAAATAAACAAGTCCATTTTGAGATGTTTGTATGCAGAATTTCTTCCAGGCACCCCCCCCCCCCCCCCCCCCCCCCCCCACGGAACGAAGTGAATTTATATAGAAAATATATACCTTTAACAGTGATCCGCCTCCCACTCCCCTCCCGAAAATTTCAGGAGACCCCTCCCCCAGGAAAAAAAAATCTGAAAGAAACACTGTTTGTATGTTCCACGAAGGAATCTATGAAATGATGATAAACATAAACTGTGAACAAAATATTATTTTGTGAGAAAAAAATCTGTTTGTTTCAGTTCTAAAAAGAATGACATTTTCGGATGGGTAATAAAAAAAAATCCATTAAAAAAAAAAAACAGTTTCAGTTAGGTACTGCTTGACGGAAGCAGGAGACGAGATCATGTGACAACACTCATTTTCCTCGGAGACCGCCCCCCCCCCCCCCCCCCTTAAAAAAAGATATTTATCCGTGAGTCAATGGGAATTCCTTGTGTAATCGGGATTATTCTCAATCCTTAACAGGTTTTACTTTATCCCAGGAGAAAAACTGGTTCGTATATGTACACACACACACACACACAACACACACACAAAACTATTCTATACATTTTTGTAGCGCTTATAATACTTATATTTGGTTATAGATTTTTGCCGTGAATGTAGGCTAGTGGTGACAAGCGGATTATCTTCCTTTATCGCGGATTATCCCTCTCTAAAGTAAGCAAGATATGGCAGCAAGTTAATTAACGATTAGTAATTGTTCACAGAGATGGTTAGCAGAGAGATTAAACCAGCTAAAGGATCGTACTTATGTTTTCAATCCCTCATTCCCCATTGGTCTATAGTCTGGTGATTTAAGTCTTATACAATAGTTGGAGCTACAATCATCTACTGCTTGTAAAATTTACAGTGTGTATTTCTAGACTGCTGTAAGAGTCTTTACTGTTGAACTCACTTTTTTACTTCATACATATTTACAATGATTTCAAATGCTGAATTTAACTGATTACAAAGTTTCACATTGTTTTCTATTACCCCCCTCCCCCACCCCCATATTCCAGCCATACTCACATAAAGTAACTTCCGTTTCTGAATTCTCAATGCACAAGGATGACTAAATACGTATTGTATTGATATTGTAATCCATTCAAGGGAAGGTTGTAGTTAGGGAATTGAATGTCAGAAATTTAAATTGATGACAATATAAAACATGTTAATTTCGGTTGACAATAAGTGAAAAAATAAGGAAACTCTGTAATTAAAGTTTAATGTTAAACTAAATTACAGCTGTAACAAAGTTCAACCTTTACGACAAATTAGGGTTAACCTCTAACTGCCTTCATTCTATATACGAGTTAACTTCTAGCACTTTCCATCTTTTTCTATTATAAAACTATCACAGTTCGAGCAATGGGCACCGTATCTAGGCAGTAGGCCACGCCGTTCCCTACTAAATAAAAACAAACTTCCTCCTCTAGGGATTCGAACTCATGTCAGCAACATGATATGTAGCAATGCGGGTTTCTTTGCCATGACTTACAAAAGTCTCTATGTGTTTAAAGTCAATTATGTCTATACACAGATCTAGTACTAGTCACCTAAAAACGTTGGAGTATACCCACAATTCTAGTACAAGATACCTAATACCGTAAAGTCTTCACACAAAATCTACTACCCGTCACCTGATGTTATTTCCAAAACTATATCTTTATATAAGAAATTTGAAATACACCATTAGAACTTTATTAATTATTTCCTAATTGAGTTTTTTATAACAAAAAACTCCATATAAGGCCTACTAAAAAAAATTAGATTTTAATTTTAGGTGGCTGTGTCCAGGACTTGTAACCGTCACTGAGAAAAAAAAGTTTAATAATGACATTTACAAAGTTTAAAATTAAAGAACTCGCTACTCCATATTAATTTAATTTTAACTAGCCTAATTACAAGACAGTCGACCGTAAGATGTTTTAATTGGTTGAGGTTTTCAAAGGTAATTAGATTAGTCTGAAGCTAGTTGAAAAGCTAGACATTTTAATTGGCAGTATGCGTCATTAATTGAATGCTTGAAAAAAAATTACTGCACTGTGGATTTGGAAAATTTGAATCGGTGATCGTTAAACTGACAACTTGAGTACATCATTAAAGTAAAAAAATAATTAATAAAGACCGTCTGTTTGTTATAATTGTGGGTAAGACAAAGAGAAACATTGTTTTGTCATCTCTACTGTCAAGGCACTGTGTCTAAGTGCTAATGTAATGATTTTAAAAATAATATATTCCCGCAAAACCAAAAGCAGTCTTTTAAAAAACATCGTACGTTTTGTGTTATATGCGCTGGTCAGGATTTATTTGTCAATTAAAATATATTTAACTGTGTAACATATACAAAGATATTTAAATCAGCCTATACAACTAGGAAGATTATAAAACGTTAAGTTTTATCTGTAGATTGAGAAGAACAGCAAGAGAAATAACAGAAAATAGCTCAATGTTTGGAAACAAATGGATAGTTTCGCCTGATGTGATGGGCATGATAAAAAATGTCAATATTTTTATTTGTGAGTCGATAGGAATTCCCCGGTATAATCGGGAATATCCTCAACATACTTGTGTTCTATAAACAAGGCTACGAGGAGAGTGTGAACGTCACGCTAACAGCTTTAGGCCATCAGCGACATCGGAGCTCTGTTTACATTTCTTGTTGCTAGCGTCATCAAAATGCTGAGTCTTGCGCGTCTACCATTTTTAGAAACGGAAATATCCGTTTTTTTCGCATACAACCCACACTCATATTTTATAAGGGTGTGTGGGTGTATAACAGCTTTCGCATCTTTTGAAAGATGTATGTGTGTTTTTAGTCCCTTTAAAAGTCAAACAAATTATAACATGCAAAGTCGCTTTAATGTTTAATGTTGGGATATACATCGTAATGTTACCTGTTATGTTTCCAACGTATTTCGTGTTTTACCTAAGTTGGGTAACTGACCCCAGAACGAACATGACAGTACTTGGGTTAT